ATGTGGTTCAGGAGCGGACTATGGATGCTGCCTGCAGTTAGGCCTGGTCACTGTGCAGCACCTTGGTCATCAGAGAGGTTTTTCCAACAGCAGAATCAGCAGAAAGAGATGCCTTGCACTACCTCTTTAAAGCAGCATTGTGGGCTCCCTTTTGGTATGCCCACAGACTGGTAGATGCCCTTATTCTTACTCATTACTGGCAGCCCAATCCTCCTTCTCACCACCACAGCACCATCATCACAACATTCCTCCTCCTCTTTACTACCAGCACCCCAACCCTCCTCCTTGTATTCCAATGTAGTCAGCAATCATGTTCTGAAGCTGACTGTAAGTGCTGCTTGCAGCTAGGCCTGTCCCCTGTGCTTGTAAAAAAATCCTTTCAGGGATAAGAGGATTGGAGGCACATTTGTCATCAGAGAAGCCACTAGCAGGGTGAAAAAAAACAGCTTATAAAGATTGAAGGAAGTTGACAAAAAGGAGATGACGGTGGAGGGCAGGATTAGATGAACACACACTCCACACACAGCACCCCTACTTCCCTTTTTATGCCTGGTAGGAGTTTCAGCCCAAAGAGCCTGGACAAAGTGGGGCTCAGACCTCTGGACTTTGGGGTGGTTATAGTGTAACTTTTTTGCAGCTCTAGATGGCAGCCTATGCCTACTGCAATCAGGTGCTGTGCTATCCAGCCACTGTACAATGTTTGTGGCTATTGGCTCTTCAATAATACACTCTAATGTTTATTTCAAGATAAAACCTAGCACATACCTGAAGTCTATATTTGGAATATTTTAGGAATAATTAGGGGCACAGGAATGGAAGGGGGGTTTTGGAAATGTGGAGTTTTGAACTGTTTTTGTGTTTTGAATTTTTTTTTGCAATGTGGCTCTGTGAAAAAATAAACTCGCAAACTACACAGTTATACTGTTGCACCACTGGCCAAGTGGAGGGTTTTTTTCTTGTAGGGGTACACTTTTCTATAGCATTAGATCTGTGGTAGCAGTCACTTCCACAGTTCCATTCAGGCCTATTACCGTTGGATAAAAATATCGGGTTTGACAGTGAAAAGTACCCTTTTCAAAGTTGAAATTAATCTAATCTGGGATGTGCTACTGTATTACACGCTTGATGTTAAAGTCACACTAAACTCCGAAGTTAAATCTTAAAAATGCATTTAAAGTACACTTACTATTAACAAAAATGCAAATTATTTATCAGTCAGCTGTAGATCGTCCAATCATCTCTGAATTCATGCCGGCACTGTCCTTTAGAGATGTCCAGTTCATGAATAGCCACATAGCCAATAGCCACAAACATTGTTCTTTTGAATCGATTCTCTTCAGTGAACTGGAGGAGTCGATTCATCTGAGTGAGCTAATCTGTTTGAAGCAGCTCAGTGTGTGACTCAGTGTGGAATGTATAGCAGAGAGCCGCTCTTGTAATATGATGCTAGAGTGAGAGCCAGGCTTCTGCCAGCCCCTCTCAGCCCACCCCAGCAACCAATCACATCTGTGAACCAACAGCTCTGAGTCTAAGAATCGAATGAGTCTACTGAGTTAAAGAATCGAATGAGTCTATTGAGTTAGTAGACTCATTTGATTGTTTAACTCAGTAGACTCATTCGATTCTTTGAGTTAAAGAATCATGAGTCATCAGAGGAGTTACAGAGTCAAAAGAATCGTGAGTCACCACCAGTAGAACAATACACTGAATCAATGAGCAGGTTGCAGCAGTGATAAGGGACAGAGAGAGTTTGGATTAGAGGAGATCCTCATTCAGATTGATGGTTTAACCCTTTAGGATCACATTGGCTTCTCAAGGAGATATGTATGTTAAAGGTACAGACATCCCTTCTGAAACATATGTCTCATTCAGTAGCTATATAACTAAATGAGAGAGCTGTCTTTTTTTTAAATAACATAAAAATACATTTAAACTTCCTTTTTAATTATATTATTTACCCCTCCTCTCCTGAGTTTTTCACACCCCCTGAATACTTGGATTTGTTTAGTTCCGACAACCATGACCTCTATGAGTAGATTATTACACATTTACACACAGGATTTTAAAAAATAAACAATGTTTGGTTTTAGTTTTAATCTATTTTATTATTTTTCACTTAAATTTATTGATAGCTGCCTGACACCAGCTAGGACAATGTCAGCACGAATTCAGAGATGATTTGAGGATCTACAGCTGAGTGATACATAAATAAGCTACGTTTGTGTTATTAGCTAAGGTACTTGAATGTATTTTTAAGTTTTAAATCAATAACAGTTTTAAAATATGTAATGCCAGAATATGGTGTTGCTGATGCTTTCCATGAAAATCGTACTGATTGGTGTTTTTCCCATATCACCTCTCCCCACTGTATGGTATATTTAAAATTTGTTTCTCATTTGTTAAATGTTTCCCATGCTTTTTTTTGACAATACCTTGCACTCAGCTAGCACTTTCAAAACCAAGTGGACAGCGGCAAGTTACACTATAATATCAAACATCTACATGCAAGTTACAATCAATATTCTGTTTTTGTCAGAATATATTTTATGGTTTGTTTGGTGTTACTTTTTTCATATTGTATCTTAAATATTTCCATATAGATTTGTTATGTAGGGATGGGCTCGATGTTCAAGTAGAAGAACAATTCGACGCAAACATCAGTAGTTTGTGTGTTCAGCGAACACACAAACTATCAGGGCGTTCGGTGGACCAGCGTTCAGCGCTCTGCATAGTGCCTTGTGAATCCCTGATTGGGTAAACCAATGCACCTGACCACAGGTCAGGTGTAAGACTTTAACCAATCACAGCACAGTGCACTGTGAGAGCCATGATTGGGCAAAATAATGATGACTTTGCCCAATCATGGCTCACACAGCTAAGTCCTGTAAGGTGCCGGACAAATGAAAACAGTTGGGCAGAGCTAGCTAGCTGTCACCGCTAGCTCACCCAATTGTTTATATTTTGACAGCATCTGTCAGAATGCCATTCTGCGGCGGGAGTTCGTCGTGAGCGAACGGGTCGGTGGGCGTCGGATTTTTAAAAAAAATATTTCCAGGGAAACGGAGAGGGCCTCTCCAAGTAACATAACTATGTAACCAAATAGTGGTCGAAACGCTACGCAATGCTGCCCATCGTGAAGCAGACTGGTATCAATGTATGGTATACTCAACCCATAGTGATGCTAAAAACTTTGTAAGACAGCTTAGGAGAAACTAAGTGCGGGACGGATAAAGATTTCCTGGGCAGAGTGGATTGCATACATGGTCAAAGGTACTTAGGGAGCCTATAAAAAGGGGGAGGTTTAGGAAGAAAGAGATAGAGAAGCAAGAGGGGAGATAGGAGGCCGATAAATGCATAAGGTGAAGATAAAGACAAGAGGAAGAGACATGAGAGGGGCAGAAGAAAGGGAAGGAAAGAGCAAGAAAGGAGCAAGTAGTAGGGAAAAGAACGTAAAGTCTCCCATCCACTTGCTCTGCCCCTAGGAAATAGGGCCAGAGTCAGATGAAAGGAAAAGAGGGAAATGGAGAGGAGGAACAGAGAAGAGGTAATAGAGAGAGAAAAAAAGGGGTGGGTGGGAGATAGGGGAAGGAAAGGAACAAGCTGCAGTAGTATGCCAGGAGAAGGAGAGACATAACTCATCTAGTGAGTGTAGTATATGTTTTCAAGTCTTTGAACAGGTACCATGCCGTCCAAGTCTTCAGGAAACAAGACATTTCTCTTTGCTGGAGTGGATAAGCTCTTCCATTTCCGCCACCATATCCACTCGTGCCAGCCACTCTTGAATAGTCGGTGGTCGGGGTGATTTCCAGTGACTAGGAATCACAGGTTTTCGGTACATTCAGTAAGTGCAGCGTCAGGGAGGTTTTGGAGATATGGTGGGAATCCTCGAAATGGTATAATAATAATGAGGCTGGGGAAAATTCAAGTGAGACACCAGTGATGAATTGAATGAGAGCGTGTATTTCTTCCCAGAAGGGGGTGAGGAGAGGACAACCATATGTGAAGGAGTGTGCCAGTAGCTTGAGAGCACCGCCAGCACGTGTCAGGGATGTCTGGGCAGAAACGGTGAAGCAGCACCGGAGTTTTGTATCCCTGTGTGCAGAGTTTGTAATTGATTTCTTGAATCTGGACGTTCATTGAGCTAGTGAGCAGTAAAACGTGCATTCTTTCCCATTCGTGTGAGGATAACAAGAGAGACAGATCCCTCTCCCATGCTTTCATAGATGGCTTAGGAGTAGAAGAAGTGGGCTCATTTAGGATCGCGTAAATCGCTGAGATTGTGTGTGTAACCCTACAGGGGGACGTGCAAAGTTTCTCGAAGGGAGTCAGAGGTCTCATAAAAAAGTGCCTATTCATACTAGAGTTAAGGAAGTGGCGAAGCTGTAGATACAGGTACAGGTTCTACAGGTTGAACCGAATTTAAGTCAGAAAGTGATCGAAACATACCCTGATGGTTACAGAACATGTTTGCGAGCTTTTTTTTTTTTAAATGTAATTTTTTTCTTTATACATGTCGCTTTTTGCTGCAGCAGGTTCTATACATTGTACAGATGCGCCACTTTACAGGGAGTTTAAGAGGACCGCCCAGGCACGATATTTAAAGGCATTTTTCATTTTTATTGTTTCACTTTAAGCAATGATAAAATCACCGCTCCTTTAAAATGTATTTTATGTATTTTATGTATTTTTATAAGTATTTTTTTCATTGATACATGTCTCCTAGGGCAGTACCTGAATCCCAATACCCTTTTTATGGCCAATAACTTGCATATAAGCCTTCAAAATGGGGACATTTGATTTTCTGAGTTCTGGTTCCATAGAGTTTCATTGAGTTCAAACTTTTTCCATGTTCTAAAGTTCGAACTCAGGTGTGTTTGGCCCATATTGTTATGCAGCAGAACATTTATTGAGTTTTTATATCATAATTTTTTTATTCCTTTTTATAAACTAGTTTCATTTCATAAACAAAATATATTTAACCTTGACCTGTTTTTGCTTAGGTTTGCAAAATTTGATTCAAAATATCTCAGCAAACTTTTCATGAGAAAATCAGCCCAAAAAACACAAGATCGAATTCTCAGTGTTTTCCATGACCTAAATGTGAAGGATGCTATAAGTTATGTTGCAGAGGTATGTACATCGTATAAAACAATAGCATACTGTGTTTGCACCACTGTATTAATAACAAAATTTACAGCTAACTTTTGATCTGATTTTAAAGATGATTCCACAGAAAAAAAGAAACTGTCATTTTGGAGTAAATTGATAAAAAGATTTAATATAAAACTGTATTTCCTTGCGTTTGGTAAGATCTACAGAAAATAAAAACAGCAATATTTTTTTACAGCAAAAATAACTGACGAGCAGAAACAACCTTAAAGTAATAGCTACAGGGGCATTGCCAAGTTCCTAAAGGACTTGGGGTACCAGTCAAAAATGAATGTATAAATAGAGCATTGCACTACAAAAAAATAGGGATGAGGTTTGAATTAATCGCACAATAGGTTCATGGTGAATCCAAAGCGTTTGAGGTAAACCATTTATGGTAAAATTTGCCAGTACTTAATTTTAAAGGACCCATAACACCATGCCTAACCTTTCAACTGTGATCATGAGGGTTAGCATGGCCAATAATGGGGTCTTTGCTATGTGCCAGCTCCCCCACTATAAACGGGGGGCAGCAGCATTTGTAGATGTGTGTTGGAGCAGTGTGGGGAGAGCTGACAGCCTGTGTATGGCGAGTTAGATGCTATACGGTGTTATATTTTGCTAAGTTACTATGGACTGCACTGTGCTGGCCTACATAGTCTTATGTACTCCTGCGTTCACAGATCAGAGACCGTCCTTTTTGCTGTAGTTGTTCCCTCCTTGCAGTGTTTTTTTGTAGTGGTTTGTTTGGGATTTTTTTTTTCTATTTATTTCATGTTTATCAATCTTATATTTTGTTTTTTAAAGATGGTTTTTATTATCATTATCAACATTTTTACAAAACAAGCTCACATAAGAAAGGGAAAACCAGGTCAACATACCCAGTAACACGCTTATAAGCCAAAAACATAACAAAAATAAAAACCACAAAGAAGTTACAGTCTCAGTACAGAAGTGCAAGATTTAGCATCAGCTGACATCGTACTCAATAGAATTCACAAGAAAAACAAGTACTCCCAGGTATTATACTAAATTACAAAGTTCAATCAGGTAGGATCAACTGTTATAGTAGTAGTAGAAGATAACCATGGTCCCCAGATACGATCAAAGCATTGCGCATTACCCCGCTGTTCGTAGGTGATCTTATAAAGAGGCAAGAATTGATCAACCAAACATTTCCAGCCACTCAAAGAAGGAGCCCTAGGGCTACCCCAAACCAGAAGGATGGCCTTCCTGGCATAGAACAAGAGAAAACGGATGAGGGTCTGAGCCCCCGTATCCAACATCAATCCACCAAAAAGACCCAATAGGCAAAAGGTGGGATTGCATATATTGGGGAAACGAAAAACCAGTCTCCATGAAAAAGGTAACTTCAAACCAAAAGGCACGTATATGTGGGCAGGACCAAAAGGAGTTTAAAAATCTCGCTCCCCGACCGCTGCGTTTAACTGCCTCCGGGCCGGCTTCTTTTGGGGGGTCCTAGGTGACATTAGGGGTCTTGGAGACCCCTGATGTCTCCATAAAGAGGACCTGTCACATATTTTGCTATCACATAGGGGGG